CCCCCCCACCCCAACACACACACACAGCGACCACCCTTCTCAGTCCCTGCCCCACAATAACACCACAGTCCTCCCTCTGTCCCCTCCACCACTGCATGTCTCTCTCTTGCCCTTCCCCACTTGAGTCTCTCCTCAGTGTTCCCCATCCTCCATGTGATCCCCTATTTCCTACTTCCCAAAGGAATTCTCTGTCCATACCCTCGCCATTGTATCCCCTCATGGTCCCTCCTCCACTGTAAGCCCTTCCACTGCCTGCTTTCCCACTGCATCCTCTTTGCCTCCCGCTCTCCCCCAAGATGAACTATCTAATTACCCTCTCCCATGCTTGCTCTTTAACTGCTCACTCCTTGCTCCCCTCATTGTATCCCCTTGCCTACAGTGACCCCATCCCCTGCTCCCTCCCCAATTGTGCCTACTCTCCCACCAACCCTGGTAACTCTTGGTCCTGCTGTTGTCACACTACACCTCTTCCCGTCTGTCTCTTCCCCCTTCCTAGCCTCCATCCCTCTCTACCCTTCTGCAATCCCCCACCCCTTATACCATTTTTGTTCTCCTCTACTGTTCATCATATCCCCCTTCCCTGGCTACCTGTCCCCTTTGGCATATAGGCCATCTACCCATTAATTTTTAAATTACTTATCTCTGCCCACTAGTTTCTATGATGTCTTTCTTTGCACTCCAAAGCCTCTGTTCCCCTGAACAGTTCCAAGCTGCTTGTTATTTAGACCTTACTGACAGTGAATTTGTCTTGGATCCAAAGTGAAAATTCACATATCTCCATGTCTCAAATTGCCTTCCACATCCACTTAACGTATTAGAAACATACAAAAACTGTACTTGCTGGAGAATCTCAGCAGATCTAGCAGCATCTGTGGAGAGAAGAACAGAGTTAATGTCTTGGGTCCAATGATCCTTCTCCAGCAATTTCTGTTTCTCTGTGTTTCAGATCTGCAGCGTCCACAGTTCTTTATTTTATTGTAATGTTTAATTCATTGTCACATCTCTGCCCCTTAATTTATCAATGTAGCTTCACTAGCCTCTGCTTCCATCCACATTCATAACCTAAACTGGTGTCTGAAAATGGCTTTATTTCACCCTCCCAATCATTTATAACTATAGTGAACAGCTAAAGCTACAGGATTCCTGTGACATCTTGTCTATTTGAGTAGCAACCATTGTCCCAATTTTCTATCTCCTGCTTCCTCACCAACTCCCTATATATAGATTGCCTCAAGTGTCATATGTTCATGTTTTTTGTTAGAAATTTCCAAGTGAAAACTGTCTGTTGAATGGCAATTATTGTTTGACTAATCTGGTCTTTTTTCATTATTCTACTTTTCACTTCTTAAATAATGTTGGATTTGTTAGAGGAAGATGGCTGTGAGTGGACTGTTCTAAGGGTCAGGTGGTGAGAATCAGAAATAAACTTTGTTCCTTTAGGAACTGGTTTAACAAAATTGTACCCATGCATCTGGAAAAGAAAGAATTAAAAATGAAATTATTAAAGTTTTTTAAAATCAAATTACTGGCAAAACTGCAGAGTAATTTATATCAATCTCTCAACAGTGCACTCTATTTTAGTTTGTGAAAAAGTATGTAGAAGAATTCATGGACATAATTAACACAACTGATTTCTTTTTCAGTGATGATGTAGTGTGCTTCCCAAATGCCAGGTTAACCATGGCGTCCGAAGCACATGAAGAAGGAATAGAACTATCAGGAGCCTTAGCAAAAGTTGGGGATTCAAGCAGTGAAAGATTGGAACAACGTGGAATCAATGAATGCAATCCCATGGAAGGGAAAGATCAAATGGAGGACAATGCTTGGAATCTCGGGAGAATGGAGCCAATGTCAAAAAGGCAGATGAAAAAGTTAATGAGAGAGAAACAGTGGCTAGACCAAAAAGAGCATCGCAAGTAAGTGGGAATAAGTTATTGTGTACATACCCCTCCACTTTAATTCCGTTTGGACCCACTGATTTACTGTGAACGAACAAGTCAGAATTCTTCTGGGAGTTTTACTGGTGTTTTGAGGCTTGGAGGTTTTACAATCTCACCCTAGGGGGCGGCGATGGCCTAGTGGTATCATCGCTGGACTGTTAATCCAGAGACTGAGATAATGTTCTGGGGACCTAGGTTCAAATTCTGCCATGGCAGATGGTGGAATTTGAATTCATTAAAAAAATTCTGGAATCAGGAGTCTAAAGATGACCATGAACCCATTCTGGTTTACTAATGCCCTTTAGGGAAGGAAACTGCCATCTTTACCTCGTCTGGCCTACATTTGACTCCGGACCCGCAGCAATGTGGTTGACTTTGAATTGCCCTCTGGGCAATTAGGGACGGGCAATAAATGCTGCCTTGTCAGTGACGCCATAAATGAATTTTTAAAAAGTCTCTATGGAGACTTTAAACTACTTCCTTAAAAGCTCAAAGTGCATACACATTGCATTTCAGGGAAGATGAGCAGGGAGATAACTGCTTCGATGCCTGCTACACGTACATTTTTCTCCTGCCATGTATTTCTGAATGCCTGTAGATCACCAATTATTACTAACAAGTACCTTCCTGAATAATTAAGCGATTCAAATACTAGGTGCAGTTATAGCTGGTAAGCCTAATCTTAAAAAAAACAAATATTTTGAAATTTGACTTAATCATCAGTGAATAGTCTCCAGCATTTATTAAGTCTGCATTTTCTCAGATTTTCCATGAGCAATTGCTCATGGAACTTGTGATGATTAAAGAGTTGGAGCATTTCAGTATCCTCTGTTGTGAATTCTCATGAACCAGTTGTATTGAAGATTCCTACATGCACAGTATAATTAAGAAAGTGTAAGTTAGAATAGCTAATCTGCAGAGAAAGCAAAATAGAGATAAAAGATATGATTGGAGAGCGAGAAACAAAAAGAACATTAGAACTCTTACAAAAGTAAATACTATAGATGCTGTTGGGAATTTAAGATAAAAACAATTATGTTGGAAATGTTAAGATGGTATAGCAGCTTCTGTGGTGAGAAAGAGTTAATGTTTCAAGTCAGTAACCTTTCTTCAGAACAGTCTATTATGCACATTAAATAGACAGAAGTATTCAGATATGTTGTGTTAAGCAACCTGTTTGGACATATTATGATGCACTTCCGAGGCCACCAAATCCTGCAATTGGACTTAAACCTTAACATTCTGATTGAAAGGAAGGAACATTACCAGTGCGCCAAAAGCGCTTAGAAAATGTGTGAGATAGCAAGAACTGCAGATGCTGGAGTCAGAGATAACAAAGTGTGGAGCTGGAGGAACACAGCAGGCCAGGCAGCATTGGAGGAACAGGAAAGTCGATGTTTCGGGTTGGGACCATTCTTCAGAAAATGGGTCCCAACCCAAAACGTCGACTTAGAAAATGTGTGTTTTGCTGGAAACATGGAGAGCTGGCCACTATAGGGACTAAACCTTGGCATTACTAGCAATATGCTTTAACAGTCTGAGCTAACTGAGTGTCCTAATAATGTGTTTTTGTATGAATAAGAAGATCTTAAAATGGAGCAAGGAGCTTGTTTGTTTTGAAATTAGCCTGTTTGAACATTTTATGACATGCATTACAACCTGAGGAGAGGCTTGACCCCAGACCTTCTGGCCCAGAGATGGGGACACTACCACTATGTGAAATAGCAGGTTAGGTAGAAATGCTTTTAAGTAATTCAGACATGTTATGAAACATCTCTGAAAACCGGACTTGAACACAGATCTTCTAGCCCAGAAAGAGGGAGTTTACCACTGTTTCACAAGACTCTTAGTGGATATCCTTTCTTTCAATGATTAAAAGTGCAAACTTAACCATTTCCCACTAATCTTTCTGTTCTTCTTGGGCCAGGCAAAAGCGTAAAGAGAAAAAGCTTAAAAGAAAGCTAGAACGTCAAACTCAAAATGAGGAAAGACATGAAGAATCTGCCAGGAAACGCTTTAAGAGAGATGCCACTCCAAGTAACCTTCGTGTTGTACTGGACTGCAGCTTTGATAGTTTAATGGTGTTGAAGGTGAAGAAGAATGACAGACTAAAGTTGCAATGACTGTCTAAATTCACGCAGCAGTTTTATAGAAATACATAGAATATATGGTCATTCAGTGGTAGCGTGTGATCTGTGCAGGTGTTTAAGCTCCATATAAGCCTCCTCCCACCTTACCGTGTAACATCCTATTGTATATCTTTCTGTCCCTTTCTTCCACAAGTATTTATCAATCTGCTGCTTTAATGTTTTTATATTATTTATCTCAACTTCTCCCAGATGATGATAAGTTCCACATGCTATCCACCCTGTTCAAATAAGCTACTTCTGAATTCCCTCTTGGGCTTCTTAGTAACTGCCTTATATTTAAGTCCCTCAATATTTTGTTACCGTCACAAGTGAAAGCTCCTTCACTGTGTCTACAATATTAAACCCCTTGTTGATCTTAAAGACTTCTATTGGGTTCCTGTATTAAATTTCCCTTCTGCTAGACAAAGGGCCTGCAACCTGTTCATGGTTTCTGGTATTTTCCCCCTACATCTTTTTCACACTTTCTCCAGTGCCTTGAACCTTTTGTTATATAGAGACCAGAACTCTGCATAGTGCTGCTGTTGAAAGACTGCATTTCCTACTTTTGAAAATCCAGCAGTTTGTGGTGGCTGCTTATTGTGTAATACTAAGAAAAATCTGGGAACAGTTTACTTGCTTTCCCCAGTGGCATGGCATTACAGTATGCTTTGTGATCAGTTTTTTTTTAAAAGTTGGACTGGGCTGAGGGATGGTGAATAAGTGTATTGGGAAAACGAAATGAGCATCTAATTATTTTTATTTCATTCCTGAGGTGTTTATAGCGTTAAAGCCACAAGACTAGGGTGTGCCTAATTGTTTTTTTTTATTTAGGATGTCAAAAAACTGCATAAACAGATTCAGAGATGTTACGCAGAAAATCGAAAAGCAGCACATCCTGTGAGGGTGAGTCTTGACACTATAGTTTTTGATCTCCAAAACAGATAATACACAAATGTGAAAATGATGCCATTCCCTTTCTTAAAAGCGACAATTCCAACTTGAAATACCAGTAACTGCCTTTACAAAGGAGCAGACCAGACTAAGCTCTCCAATTCTTACAAACTGCTGTTAATATGACTTTCTGATTGAAGTTTACCTATTCTTCAATATTTTTATTTTTCTGATTTTCTTTGATAAGAAGTTGAATCATTTACTTAAGGTGACTCTGTACTTGGCTAGCCACTCCCCACCTACCACATTAAACTACAATGTACATAACTACTAAGAATTATGAATGCAAGGATGAATTTCAAATGATTTTCTAATTTATCTCGAAGTAAAGTGACAACTTTTATTAATAAAGTGAGCATGATGTATCATACCAGCAGATTCCCTGGTATGAGTAGTGATGAGCAGGATGGGAGGAAGAAAACTGCTGAGATGAACCACCTTGAAATACGTTTGTCAATTGCAGAACCTTGAATTCTGCTTGGTTCAATTCTTAATAAATTTCGAGTTTCAAGTATGTAAATTAAAACCAGAATATATTTATATTTCTTTGCATCAGTTTGTTTCCAATAATTGTAGTCCCATTAATCCTTTTTATTCTTAAACTATTAAAAATGGCATTGAATGTGGCATGAACTGTTGAAGGTTTTCACTGTATTATTCACTATAAAATGCAAGTGACAATAAACAAACCATTTATGCATTCAATAATTAGAGACTGTGATATTACGAAATATTCCCTGAGAATAATAACAAGGCTCTGCCACACCATAAAAATTCTCAGTTATGGTTGTCTGGGTGATGACAACCGTGATTGCTTGAAGACAAGAAGATAAAGTAGGTTTGGTCAGCAAACCAAGACATTAACCATAACTGGACTTTTGAGAACAGAATGCCTGTTGTTCTCTGAGTAGAATTTTATAAAGTAATTTTGTTTTTAACAAATAAGGCAGATTGTTGAGGGTAAGAGAAACCTGTGTAGAAGCATCAACTGCTAATCAACCTTGCCTCTTGGGCAAAAGGCTCACGTCAGTCGTCCTGGCCATTGAGGACATAATCAAGGCTGAAACTTTATGCTACATTGAGGGAAGAGAATATTATTAGGGACATGAACTAGATGAAAATCAAGGTTCTGTTCACCTGTTGCTGTTGACACTAAAAATTCCCTGAACTGTTTAATGAAAATAGGTAGTGTTGTTCTTAGTGGGGTCTAGCTGTGTGCAAAAATGACCACATTATTTGACCTAAAAGAGAGTAGGCGATGTACCTCAATGTAATTCATGTATATGAAGGACATCACAATCTTTGACGGATTTGATAAGGTATTATTCAAGCTCAGCCTTTTACCTTCGTCCCGACAATGGACTTTGAGTAGCTATTGATTCCAGTTCTCATTTCTGAATAGATGTATTTGACCAGTCATAGTGGACAGTTGAAGAAGAACATGGATGAAAATGACAAAGGCTGGGTCAACTGGAAGGTACAAAGAAATTTTGCACAAAATATTTCTTAAACTGGAAGCAGTGACTTAAGATTTTAGCTGTGATGATTGCCTAGACTATCATGAACTGTTGTTTTCATCAGCCTTTGTGCTTTAGCAGAAAATAGACTTTCACTTTAATGCATCAACCCACTGAATTGTCACCTCTTGATGTGACTGTTCCGTTGCTTTCCTGGTTTGCGTCCAATTTTCCACCCTCCAGAAACTTGCCTATTCAAAATTCTACTGCCCATAACCCAATTTACACCAAATCTCGTTCACCTATCCCTGCCTGTTCTCATTGACCCTGCAGTATGACTATGTCTCAATTTTAAAATGTTCAATTTTGATTTATAAGCCCCCCAGTGGCTTTGCCACTCACGGTTTCTAAAGGCTCCTGTTGCTCTACAATCCTTTGAGATCTCAGTGCTTTTCCATTTATGGCTGCCTACACATCCCTGAATTTAATCACTCCTCTAATGGTGGCCCTGCCTAGCTCCAAGCCCCTCCACTCTGGAAATCCCACCCTGAATCTCATCACCTGTCAAACCCTTCTCTCTTTTGAAACCCAGCTATCTTTAGTCCTTATGTGGCTGTTCTAAGTATTGATTGGTAAGGTGAAGTGCCTTAGAACTTTTTAACCATGTTAAAGTTGCTATGTACATGCAAATTGTTATTGTTAATACTAATGGCAATGACATGCTTTGTTATAATTTGACTTTGTCAGGGAATTACTGTTACGCCTGAACACGTCAGTGAAGCCATAAAGAAGGAAGACTTGGTTTATCTCACTTCTGATTCTCCCAATGTGCTGAATGATCTGGATGCAACAAAAGCTTATATCATAGGTGGCTTGGTTGACCATAATCACCACAAGGTACTCTGCATCTTCCCTGCTCTAAAGCTAACATTCCCTGCTCTAATTAAACAAAAAACAGAAATTGCTGAAAAATCTCAGCAGGTCTGGCAACATCTGTGGAGAGAATTCAGTTAACATTTTGGGTCTGGTGACCCTTCTTCAGAACTGATAGCAGCTAGGAAAATTGTTTTTGTAGAGAAGACACGGAGCAGGGAGGAGTGAACAATAGGTGGAGATAGAGCCCAAAGAGAGAGAAAAACAGTTGGATAGACAAAGAAGTGGATAAAAACCAGCCTAGGAGAATGAATAGCTGCTGATGGGGTCTACTAGTAGCTGACAGTGGATAGTGTGGTAGCAGCCCCTATGATAACAAGACCCCCACTGTATGGGGGACAACCTGGGGAACAGTGCTCAAGCCCTAAAATTGTTGAACTCGATATTAAGTCCAGAAGGCTGCAGGGTTCCCAAGTGGAAAATGAGGTGCTGTTCTTCCAGCATATGCTGAACTTCGCTGGAGCACTGCAGCAAGCCTGAGACACAGCTGTTTGTCAGAGAAGTTAGTAGTGTGTTGAAGTGGCATGCAACTGGATGCTCAGGGTCTTTATTGTGGACAGAATGTAGGTGTTCTGCAAAGTTAGTCTGTGCTTTGTTTCTTCAATGTAAAGGAGACCACATTGTGAGCAGCAAATGTAAGAGACTAGAGTGAGTGAAGTGTAGTAAAGTGCTACTTCACCTGGAAGATGTGTTTGAGGCCTTGGATAGTGTACAGAGTAGAAGTAAATGGCAGATGTTTCACCTTTTGTGATTGCGGGAGAAGGTGCTATTAGGCTATGGGGACATGTTGGAAGTGAAGGAAGAGTGACCAGGGTGTCCCACAGGGAAGTGTTTGTGGAAGGCTGACAAAGGAGGGGAGGGGAAAATGTGTCTGGTGGTGGCATCCCGCTGGAGGTTGTGTTAATAGCAGACTGGTGCAGGCTGCCATAATCTGCTGAGATTTTCCAGCAATTTCTGTTTTGTTTCTGTAATAGCTCAGCGATAGCTCAGAGATTCCAGACAAGTGTGCAATGTAAATTCAAGTTGTTGAAGTTTACTTCATACAAAATTAAAGTTAAGTGCTTTGACAAAACGGATTCAGCATTACTAACCTTAGGTCTTCCATGGCTACTATTTCAGGGCGTAACATACAATAAAGCACTGGAGTTGGGAATCGCACATGCGCAACTTCCCCTTGGAAACTATGTAAAAATGGATAGTCGTAAAGTGTTAACTGTAAATCATGGTAAGTGTCATAATAATTCTTCTGTGATGAGGATATGTAGTTTAATTGTTGTTTTTAATATACTGCTTTTATGTTGTATACATGTAATTATAAAGTCATAATATAGTTACAGCACAGAAGGAGGCCATTTAGCCAAATGAGTCTTTACTGGTCCCCAGAAGTGGCAGTTGACCTCGTGCAATTCTCCTGCTGTTTCCTTGGAGCCTTGAAAATGTTTCCTTTTCGGATAATGATCCAACTTCCTTTTGAAAGCCTCAATTGATCCTACCTTCACCACAATCTCAGGCAGTGTATTCCAGCTCAGAACCACTTACTGCATGAAAGAGTTTTTCAGGTCAGATTTTCTGCTATTAGTGTGGTTGCCTTGTTTGGTCAGGCTTGTTGAATCATTTGGGCTTCGCCCCTTATACTGCAAGTGTTTATACACAGAAACAGCTCAATTATGAAGAAGAGAGATAACAAGGTGTAGAGCTGAATGAACACAGCAGGCCAATTATGAAGAGGCCAAGTTAGCAAAGAGGTTTCTGCTCACCAAATTTTGAAAAAAGTTTACTCCTTTGGCTTTGTAAACACACATTTCCTGTTTTAGCCAAACAAGCCTGCATCTATGAATGTGATTCCGACAGGCTGTGGTGTTAATGATTATTCATGGTATGTTAATGAATGCCAGGAAGGCCAATCAACCCAAAAAGTTTCAAAAGCTAAATACCAAAACTTTAATGCAGCATCAGAAAACTGAATTTTTGCTTTCTGCCCAATAAAGTTGGTTCTGCCCACTCTTCTAAAAGTTTCAAATGGACCTTGGAGATTCTGACTATTGAAACAAGTATTCATCTGAAAATGTAAATAGAGGCACAAAGCACAAAAACATGGAAGTTATGAAAAACGATTATTGTTTGGGCCTCAGCTGGATGTAAAGTGTTCAGTCCTAGACACCACACCTTTGGAAGGATGAAAGTGCCTTGGAGAAGAGTGTAGAGGAGATTTATCACAATTATACCAGTGGTAAAGAATCTAAGTTAAGTGGAGACACTAAGAAACTGGGATTGTTTGTGGAACACAGAAAGTTACAGGGAGATTTTATAGAGATGCTCAAAATTATGAGGTTTTTGATTGAGTAAATAACAAGCAATTGTTCTCACATGTGGAAAGCTTAATAACCAGTTGACAGAGTAGATGATTGTTTTTACACAGTAGTTACTGTGATCCTGAATATACTGAGGGGGTGGTGGAAGTAGGTTCGGTAATAATTGTCAAAAAGGAATTAGAAATATACTTAGGGGCAAGAAAATTGCCATCCTGCCACTTAATGAGCTTCGATAGATGACTGTGCCAAAAAACCTATATGAAGGCTGTCCAGACGATAAACTGAAGCATGAATGTTTCAACACAATTAATGACATTATCATACATGGAATGGAATTTATCTGATCGTGTACTCTTTTGAAAGCATAGAGTTTGTTATGGCGCATGTCTTCAGCTGTTCCAATGTCACACATCAAATAAGGCGTTTGCTGAGTTTGAACTTCACAGCATGAGTATTATACTGGAGAGTCAGAATAGTAGATATTGTAAGATACAATGCTGATGCTGTAGATACAATGTAGATGCTGTAAGATACAATGATGAAATGAAGTCAGGTATTACATTGCAGGACCAAGGTAAGGGAGCAATGAGGTGAGATAGAAGTCAAATTTCCTGCATGTGAGATCTTGGTTACAATCTTTTTCTTATTTATGGCTGCTTATTTCCAAAGGAAAGAAATAAATGGGGTTTTTGGGGTAAGATGCAGACAATGGAGTAAAAACAGGAATAAATTTTGCATCATGCATTTGACTCAAGGGATGTTTCTTGCACCCTGAGCAGACAATCGTCTTTGTGGTCCTTGGGAGCCACATGGCTCAGTGAAATAAGAAAAGCTATCACAGTAATGGATTATATTTTAATCAACCCGTTCAAACATGTAATTACACACCTCTGGAACAGGAAACTGAGCCTTCAACTTCAGAGATGGGGATAATACCACTACGTACTAATGGATTATATGTTGTCAAACATGAACAAAAGTTTCCTTGCTTATTTCTTGGTGAACTTCTTAATCTATTTCACTAATTGTCAGCAGCTCTACGGTATCACACAAGAAAAAGTACCAAGTTCATTCTGCTGTTTAACACCTAAATGCAAATTTTGATTCCTACAGTATTTGAGATAATCCTCATGTATTTGGAAAAGCAGAACTGGCAAGAAGCCTTTTTCAGTATCCTGCCACAACGCAAAGGAGCTGTACCTGCCCCCCATCCCATCAGCACAGAACAAAATGAGCCTGAAGGTGACTCAGATTCTTGCGATTCTGTAGAAAATGGGACCGCAGCATCAGAAGCTCTTGCACAAGAAGAAAAACAAGTCAGTGAATTAAACTGTGAAAAGCAAGACACAGAAATTAATGAAGAAATAGATGGTGAAACCTAGCATCCCCACCATTTGACTAAATATTATTTTGAGTCTTGGTATGCCTAAAATAATCCAAAAGCAGGACTTTTGATTTGCCCTCATGACACTTTCCATTTTTTCTTGTATTACCACTTGATATTTAAGATGCTACGAGTTCAGAGAATTTTGTTTGGACACAAAATTTTGATATATTTCAAGTCAGACCATTAGTTGTTCCTACGTCAATGACTACAATCATTGTGTTAAAGTTGCTGGAGTTTAAAAATGCGATACCTGCAATCATTGTCTATATACATATAGGTACTTTAGTTACTTTGCATTAACCTAAAGAATTTTGGCTTGTTATACACAGAGCAATTCCTAAGCCACTGACTAGTATGAGAATGTTAATTTATTCCCACAGATTGAATGTATTTTCTGTGAATATGGTCTTTGTATATAACGTGCACACAAATACATCTGGTTCAAAACTAATATTTCTATTCCTGATACCCGAATTAACTGCAAAATGTTAAGCTGCTATAAAAACAATCTCAGGTTTTAGAAGAGCATACCGGTAGTCATCAAATAACAGTATGGTCAGTTAAAATTTCAGGATGATGCACTGATGTACAGTGGAATCAGTGACCAAACAACTTACCTTAGAAGTGTGTACTTGTGAGTACTTCCGTTTCAGTTGTTATTATGGTCATGCTTAATGACGGGTGATGAGTACCTTTTTAATTATTCATTCCACTTGGTTCCTGTTGATTCGATCAAAAGCTGTGCAGTAAAATTGATTTATATTATTACTTGCTGTGCAGTTTGTGGTTCATGAGAGCTTTGACTGGAGGAGGCTATTCAGTTTGGTGAGCCTGTTCCACTAGTTATTTCTAACATGACTGACCTGTATCCTAACTTCAGAATCTTCCTTTGCTTTTTTTCTAACAAAAATCTCAGGTTTGAAATTTTCAATTGAACCCTGTCCCAGTCTGGAGACCTTTTTGAAAGGTGGGACACAAGAGTCAGTAGCAACAAAGTTTGCATGAGGTTCGGGGTAGATGATCAACAGTGACTCAGTCAAATAACTACAACTATTAGATGTTTAATCATAACGTTTTATTGTAGCTTTCAACCATAAGCAGACAGACATCATACTTTAATTTGGATCTAGGAGAATTCACTGCACAAATTCAGTCTGAACAATCATTGGAAGGGCACTGTTGTCAGACAATGTTTGGCTGTCTCATCTTCAAAACTATACAACATGGACTTTGCAGGGTAATGGCAAGAACAGTCTGAGTAACACAAAGTACACATGCGCAAGGACAAAAAGTACACTACTATAGTCAATACAGCAATAACAATTAGCTGAGTTGCCATATAATACACAGGGGAGAAAGATTAACCCTTAAGACCTATCGCAACCACAAAACTGCAGTGAATGGTGCACTTTTGAAGAATAGTTACTGTTAGAATGTAAGAAATGCGACAGTTGATTTATACACAGCAAACTTCCAAAACCAGCAGTTTAACAATGATCAGATGATTTATTTTGATGCTATTGATCGAGTGACACGAGATCTTTTATTTACGCCCTTATGATCTCGATTTCATGCTTAAATGCAAAAGACAGCATTGCCCTCAGTACTGTCACCCTTGGTTTCTGTGCTTAAGTCATGGAGTAGGACAACATTTAGGAGGTGTGTAGATGAATAACTGAATACAAGGCTACAGGCCAAGTGCTGAGAAATAGATGACAGCCATTCTCTGGTTCATTGCCTCTTACCAATGATTGACTAATCTGAACCACCCTGCCTGGTTTAAATGTAAACAAAGCTTGGCAGCTAACAGTCAGTCATCATCTAACTGGTGCATTCTCAACACACCAGAGTCTGTGTTTACTTGCCAACCAACCAGCACTCTTCCTTCATACAGCATAGGTGGTAGTGTTTTTTTTACATCGGCATTTCTTGCAAGTTGTCCTAATGAGTGCAAGAAGAAAAGCTTCAACAAATATTTGTTTTCAAAGCTAATTTATTGTCATTTTTATTACCAATATCTTCCTTGGTACAACATTACTGTTGATGCCACTAGTTTTTAATATTTTTGTTTTGCATTCAATGATTTTTGATGTTATTGTCTTTACCAATCTCAGCTTTTCATTTTCTGAAAGTTGATTTTTATCAATGCAAATCTTCTTTTGATATTAAATATGTTAGAAAATCCTGTGGCCTGGATCAATCATTTGGAGGTATTGAATTCATATCTGACTAACAGAAAATCTGACTAACTTCAATTAATTCAATAACTCTGGAATTAGAAATAAAGCTAGTATTAGTAATGGTGACCATAAAAACCTATGTGATCACTAATGTGAAGGAATTAGCCACCCTTACTTGGTGTGGCCTGTATGTAACTCAAGAGTCAATTATATTTTGTAACCCTCATCTGGCCCTCTGAAACAGCAACCTGCTCAGTTATCAGCTGGCAGCTCACTGCGACTTTGTCAAGTACAATTCGAGATTGTTCATAAATGCTGGCTTTGCCAACAGCAATTGCTTTCCATGAATGAGATTTATTCATGGCGAACTGTCATCCCAAGAACAAATTGCTTCTTAAAAGGTGAATACTAAATGTCACAATCCCAGTCAGTCTGGTATGAAATGTTTCCCTTGATAAACAGGAAACTGTAAATTGGCCAGACTCCTCAAGGATTATGAAAGAACTTGCTGAACTGATCAAGGTAAATTGCTCACTTCAATTAAGTGACCAAATGCGTGGGGCCACAATGTAGCAAGCTGAAAATAAAAAGGGAGATCAGACAGCCTTTTTGAACAAAGGGTATTTTAAAAATCCAATGAAGTAAGTGGTGTAAGAGCTTCATGTGGGAATGGGGTATACTTTATTCATGGAGACTGGTGGTGTACCCAAGATTGTAGGATGACCATGTTATACATTAACACTGTAACAGCACTAATAAGAATCTTAAATCCTAGAGTTAGTCTAACCACATTTTTAAAGATTCATTGTTATTACTCTAAAGTTCTCCTTTAAATGACTGATTTTTCTCTGTGTGGTAGATTATGCTTGAACAAATCTGTCATTCAGTCTAGTGAAGATGCACAATTTAATCCAACATACTGATGCTTCATTTACCTCCAAAAAAATTTACTGATAACTCTGCATGCTTATTTGTCACAAATCTTTCAAGGGGTCTTCTTCTGTTTTAAGTTTTAGATAAATCAGTCTTACTGTGGCACAACTTCCCATCCAGTATGGGCGAAGACGTCACATTGGGCACTCTTTTTGGCACTCCAAGAGTTTTTGGCTTTTTGCAAATTTTAGGTCGTGGACAATGGTGAACAGAGGAAAGTGGCCTGGTGTCTTCCAGCATTTTGAGATCTCTCTCTCTATCTGAAGTATTAGAAGTTGTAATAAATGTGGTAAATACATGATAATAGTATTGTTAACCTAACCCAGATTTCTAATACATAGACAATACATTTCAAGTAGTTTGTTCATACTGTGTAGGCCAGCACTTATTACCCATCTCTAACTGCCCTTGAGAAGCTCCTGGTGAGCCACCTGTGGTCTTTGGTGTATAGAGATACCCACAATGCTGCTCGGGAGTTCCAGCATTTTGACCCAGTGACCGTGAAGGAATGAGGATTTAATTCCACCTCAGTATGGTATGTGGTGGGAGGGGACCTTACAGGTGCTAGTGTTCCCATGTATCTGCTGTCCTTGTCCTTCAGGATAATAGAGGTTATCTAATTTGGAAGGTGCTGTCAGAGGAGCCTTGGTGAATACACTGGTCTAAAAGCATTGCAACCTGGTAAGTCTATGATGTAGGGGAAAAAACACTGCTGTGACCAGCCCCCTCCCATCACCAGTGGGTAAGAGCAATGGCTGCTGTGGAGCTCCAACCCAGTGTTAAAGGCTGCGAGGTTCCTTTAATTGTGTTTTTTTTAAAGTATCCAGTAGCCCTCCCAATCTTGTATGCCTGAATCCTGTTCTTAAAAAAACCCAGTAGACTAAACAATTGCCTTTACTGCTCTCAAAGGCACCTCACTATCTCCACTGCCCTGCTGTCTTCTCCTACCCACCATTCTACAACAACTACTTTCATGGCACTTTAATGCCGTAACACATTTCAAGGCATTTCTCAAGAGCACTGTCAAACAAAATTTGACGCTCAGCCACTTTAAGATATTAGGATAGTTGGAGACAGGTCTTAAAGGAGCATCTTATAGAAAGAGAAACAAAGGTTATGGAGCAATGCCAAAGACTTAGGGCCTCAACAGCCAAAAGCAGACCAATGAAAAACAGGATTGCTGAAGAGGCCAGTATTAGAGAAGCACAGAGATCTGAGTTATGGAGCCAGAGGAGATTGCAGAGATAAGGTGGTGTGAGACAAAGAAATCAAAGATGAGAATTCTCAAAACATTTTAAACTCCAAGCAGTTGCTGGACCAGGAGTAAAGTAGAGTCAACAAGCACAGAGCTAAAGGATGAATGGAACTCAGTGCAGGTTAGGTCACAGCCACAGGGTTTGGGATGCTCTCAAATGAGCACATGGGGTAACAGCCAGGAGTGTGTTGGAACAGTTAAGTCTGGAGGTGATGAATGAAGGTTTCAGTGGCCAATGACTTGAGACAGGAGTGGAGTCAGGTGATGATATTGAGGTGGAAGGAGGCACCCTTAGTGATGGCATGGATCTGTGGTCAGAAGCACATCTAGGGGTCAGGTAAGACAGCAAGAGTGAGAAATTCTTGTTCAGCTTCAGACATTTGTTGGGAAGAGAGATGAACTTGGCTGGAGAAGAAAAGGCAATCACTTTAGCCTTCCCTTATTTTGTTTCAGGAGATTTCCTACCAAAACTTTCCCTCAGAAGCTCTATCTTCTCCTTGAACAGAAACCTTAAGATTTACTTATTTGGTCAAGATTTTGGCTATATCTCTCAATATTTCTTTGTTGGCATAATGTCATGGAGTTGGAGATGTACAGCACAGAAACAGACTCTTCAGTCCAACTCATCCACGCCGTTGACATATCCTAAATAAACCTAGTCCCATTTGTCAGCATTTGGCCCATATCTGTCTAAACATTTCCTATTCATATACCTATCTAAGTGCCTTTTAAATGCTGTAATTGTACCAACCTCCATTCTGGCAGCACATTCCATACACACACCACCCTCTGCTTGAAAAAGTTGCCCCTTAGGTCCCTTTTCAATTTTTCCCCTCTAGTTTTGGGCTCCCCTACCCTGGGGAAAAGACCTTGTCTGTTTACCCTATCCATGCCCCTCATAATTTTATATACCTCTATAAGATCACCCCTTGGCGTCCAATGCTCCAGGGAAAGTAGCTCCAGCCTATTCAGCCTCTCCCTACAGCTCAAACTCTCCAACCCCAGCAACATCCTTGTAAATCTTTTCAGAACTCTTTCAAGTGTCACAACATCCTTCCTATGGCAGGGAGACCGGAATTGCACACAGTATTCCAAAAGTGGTCTAACCAATGTCCTGTACAGCTGCAACATGACCTCCTATACTCAGTGCACTGACGAACAGTCCTGAGAGATATAATCCTATATTAAAGTTGTCATTGAGGTGCCAAACTATGGGAGAGGTATGTTAGTCAGCTGGAAGCCGAGTGATTTTTCTCCTTAATCACAGTTCTGTCCAAAAATTCTTCTAAAACCTGAAAATAGTTTGCTAATACCACTTTCACAGTGCTCAATAGCATATGGGAAAGCACTCGAAATCACAGAACAAAAAGAGACCATTTGGCCCATTGTGTTTGTACTGTTTGAACAGGCTATGCCATTAATCCCACTCCCTTGTTCTTAGCCCTAGAAAGAGGTCCTTACTACCCTATCATCTGACGTTTATAACTTTTCATCTTTTATGAACCAACGTTGACTTATTAAAATATCTTACACATTTATAGCTGGCTTTGAGTAAGCTCATAATTAGTTCAATTATTAAAAGAAAATGTTGCTAAATCCTCTGTCTCATAACCTGCATACCTGGCTCTTTCTCCAAGATTGAATCCAGTCTTTGACATTGACATTGTGACCTGTGAAACAAGAACTATAAATTTCAGCCTTAGTCATTGCAAACCTCAAATAAGTTTCCATCTCTACTTTCTTTTTATAATCTAATAAAGCTTGGAGCATAAATTGGACCTGTTCATGTGCTTATAAGGTTGGATTTACTACCTTCATTCTAATTTTAAATATGGCTAGAATATGTTATTTATTTCTAATGTAACTTTTAAGTTTAAGACAATTTATGCAACTCAATAAAACTCCTGTAATAGGACAATTCTAAACGGTAACTTCCAGTAGATTGGCAATCAGAGGGAATAGATTTAAGGTAATTCTTCAAAAGTGGGTTTAACTTTCAAGATTATCTCTATTGTTACAATGTATTGAGGTTGCACAGAGAGATGTGAGTCAGTCTTTGTACACGTGAGCAGAATCTTTTATTAATGTTAATATGTTGCTTAGGTAGGAGGGAGCATTCCTAGAATCTTGCTGGCACAGTCCTAGATCAACGTGCAAGGTTAGCAGACAAAGCAAGAGAATGGCACTAAGTGAGCTGCTCATTCATCATTGGCAGTTCTTCACAGATGATCACTCCCTTTCACTCTCAGGTTCAGTCCATAGATGGCTGTACAGTCTAATGTGGCTTCCGCAGATTCTGCTACACTTAGGGCAAAAGGTGGTCGTGGGAAAGGATGGGTGGGACATTGGTGTGCCAGCACACTCCTTACACTTTCACCCGGTTTATGCTTTTTCCCCGAAGGAAAGTCTTGAGGTGCTCAACACCTTCCCGGATGCTGCTGCTCCACGTTGGACAGTCTTGGGCCAGTGATTTTCAAGGTGTTGGTGAGAATGCCGCACTTCACCAGTGAGGCCTTGAGGGTATCACTGAAGCATTTCCTCTGTCTACTTGGGGCTTGCCTGCCATTTCGGAGCTAGCAGTCGAGTGCCTGCTTGGGGAGTTTTGTGTAGGTCATGCGGACAATGTGCACACCCCAACACAGCTGATCAAGGGTGGTCAGTGCTTCGACATTGGGGACGTTACCTGATCGAGGACACTGTTATTGGTGCGTCTTTCTTCTCAGCGGATTCACAGGATCTTGCACAGGCAGCGTTGATGGTACTGCTCCAGTGCCTTGAAGTGTCTGCTGTAGACAGTCCACATCCCAGAGCCATACAGGAGGGCAGGAACCAACACAGCTCTGTATACCATGAGCCTGATGTTGGATCTGATGTTGTTATTCTCAAACCCTTTTCCTCAGGTGGCTGAAGACTGCACTAGCACACTGTGTGTTGCTCATTGGGAGAACCAACACAGACACAATGGGCCAAATGATTTCCTTCTGCACCGTAAACATTCTCTGCAGTTCTAACACAAGTTTCTGTGATGGAGGAGGAGCACCATGACAGTATAGTTTTCTGGTGTGTGAGCGAGCCTCTTTTCACACCATTTTGACTCGCTTGTGAAATGGCAATTGGCATCATTTTAATATGGTCCCCCTCTTTCAGCTACAGTGCTCTTTTGGTTCAGTACTATCTCTGACAGCTCCACTGCTGGAGAGCCCCTGCAGTATCCCTACAAATGGTAAATCAGTTAAAACAGAATACATCACTCACCAGGCCACAGTTGGTCTCCTGCATTTGACATTGCGAGGCTTCCCCTGCTGCTTGTCTTCTTATTGTGGTCATAGCAGGGTCTTTCTCTGTATTGTTGTACCCAAAACATCACTACATCTCACCTGCCACTGCACTCTCCTTGTGTTGATCTGGCTTGCTGCTACATTGTGGGAGCCTAGCTTCTGCTATTCACCTTGTACTAAATGTTTATGCTGGGTGGGTGGGGGTGGTCTGCGGAGGTTCCTTTGCTTATAAGCACTGCCAACAGATCGCATTGAGGTTGTACAAACAGGCAGGTCAATTTGCATTAATTAACCCTATACAATGCATCTAGAGTTGGGTAGTACATTTCCTGTTGGCTCAGTCCTAGTTTTAGTTGTGTCAGAATGTCAGAAGGTGTTAATGATTCGTAGCATGATGGGACTTAACCATTATCCTGCAGTCTCTTTCCCTGTTTCTCTAACTGGAACCCAGGCCATTGATGACTGGAAAGCTTTTCAAACTTGGAAGATGATTTATGAAGTCTACTTATTCCAAATGTAGTATACAAAGCAATGAATAGGAAGTGATTGGGTGCATTGGTACTGGCATCAGGGTTATTTGCAGTTGACTATTTAGCATTAATATAGCATATTTCATAACCTCAAAACATCCCAAATCACTTTGCAGGCAACAAAATTATTTAGAAATGTGGAAAGTATGTGCCAATTTATCCACACCAAGGTACCATAAACAGCTGTGAAGTAATGACAGGATAATCTGCTTCTATTTATAATGTTTGTTGAGGAATCAATATTGAGAAAGGATCTGGGAGAAGTCCCAAGAATATCTTTGAACTAGTGTCTCGGGATCTTTCACCTCTATCCAAGAGAGTAGACAGCACCCTTGGTTTAATATTTCATCCAAAGGTCAGCACCTCAGACAGTACAACACTCTTATCAGTACCGCAGTGGGAATGTCAGCCTGGATTATGTGCTCACATTACTGGAGTGGGCCTGGACGCCATCATCGTGGGAATCAGTAAGTATGAGCTAAGGCTAACACCTGACAGAAATAACCAACAGAAGGACCATAAACAGAACCCATATACAAACCGCAACAATAGAAATCGAAAACTACAGCAAACACTTTTTGCATTAAAATTCAAAATATCAATCATGTATCCCAAAGAAATCAGAATTAAATCAGACCTGGCACGGCGCCTCTCACATGCAGACTGCGCTCGGAATATATCCACTTCTGTTTCTTCAGCTGGCTGGCGAGAAGTTAAATTATCTTTTCCAGTGGCACAGGTTGAAGTGTTTGAACTATTGAACTTCATATTAGCCACAGCCATTCGAAGCAAATCCAACACCATGTCTTTGTCTAAAGCAGAGTGAAACACAGGTTGAAGGGAAACTAAACTGGCAAATAAATGATCCCTGATGTTTTAGCCAAACTTTAACAGCTGGCCTTGGAATCCTCTGGGGATAAAGAAACTGAAAGGAAAAGCAAAATTACAACAATGAGGTGCTTTAGCATCATGAAATGTCCCAAAGCACGTCATAAAGGTCTATCAGCCAAATTAGGTACCACACTCTTAAGGTGATACAAAGCCAAAACCTTAATCAAAGAGGGATATTTTAAGAACCATTTTAAGAGGAGAGGTAAAGAGTATATGAGAGAAGATGGAAGATAAGGAAAAGAGTTCAGAGCTTATGATCTAGGCAGCTTGAGGCATGACCACTAATGATGAAATGATTAGAACAGGGGATACTCAAGGAAGTGGAATTAGATCCTAGAAAAATGTCCAAAACAGGAATTTAATCAGACAAAACATTTACACTAAGCCAAAGAAGGAAGCATTTGGCAAAGTGTCAAAAATCTTTGTCCAAGAGGTAGCTTTCTTCGTAGCATCTTAAAAGAGGACAAAGGGAGGTGGGGAGGGAACTCCAGAGTTCAGGGCCAGATGGCTGAAATTGTTGGGACAAGGCTCTGCTTTGTCTTAGGTAGCGTCAAGCACTTGAGTGATCGCTGCCCATCTGGGTAAATGCAGAGTGTCCTGTCAAACACCCGGAAGGGACAAAATTCAGGAGCAGATGGCGGAAATTATCAGAGAAAGGAAACCAGCGAAGAAACAGATTTGAAGTAAGAAAAACAATTCAAGCCTGAGGGCAGTGACGTGTATCTGCCGACTATTTCTACAACCCAATTTTTCCAACCTTAACCCTATCCATTTACCTTCCATCAATGTTACAACAGGAAATCAGAAGAACTATCACAGTTGCATGTTTGTTATGATTGTGTGATTTATTTGGGGAGTGTAGCTTTAAATTTAGGGGAAATGAAGGGAGCCATTTGATCTGTCCGAAGTCTGCCTGACAGTAAGTCAGGGTGGGGAGAGGACTGATTGTTTTGGGTCAACGGAAGACTTAGATTGTCTTACTGAGAATAAATGGGGAAGATATTTACACTTGCAGACAATGGCAGCACTCTCTTGGTTTGCAATAAGGAGACTCTGTAGCTCCTAAAGTCCCTAGAAAAGAGTCATCTGTTGCAGGTTGAACAATAAGTTGTCCATTTGTTATTAAGTATGAAAGTGAAGTAGAAGGGGCAAAAATATCTCATTGACATTTCCACCTGAATGCAAGGTTAATATATTTGATGTTGCCATGTTTAAGATCAGGTTACAGGCTTCCCTAATCAATATCACAGACAGGAGGTTCTGTGTAGCCAACAGAGAGCTGCTTGGCTTTGTGAGCTACTATAGCCAGATGCGGGAGAGAGACAATCTCAAATTGAAGAGACACATCGTGTTGTCTTCTATAGATTCCAGATTTGTCCAGGCATGACCAGAGGGAAGAAGAATCATCAGAAAAGGCTTTGCTGCTTGTGGAGGATTTAAGGAACTCAGAAAACTGAGGCAAAGTGCCTGAAGGTGGTCCTTGAGCTTATTACTCAGTAAATCAAAGAAGCATTATGGTGCAGAATGAGACCATTTGGCCCATCATGTCTGCATTGGGATAAATGGACCCAAAATGTTAACTCTGATTCTCTCTCCAAGGATGTTGCCATACCTGCTAAGTTTCTCCAGCATTCTATGTTTTTGTTTCAGATCTCCAGCATTTTGCTGTTATCCCTTGCTCACAGGATATTTTATCCTGATGAGTAGATGTGTCCATGCTAAAATACCTCATTCTAAGTAAGCTCCGTTTACACTATGTACTCTGTCCAATGATTTAGAAGAATATGAGCCAAATGTAGGCAAATGAGACTAATTCAGTTTAGGAAACCAGGTCTGCATGGATGAGTTGGGCCAATTGGCCTGTTTCCATGCTGTATGATGCAAAAGATTCCAATGGAAACTGGGAACAACTATGGAATGTTCACTCTAAAGACGGTAATTCCATGGAGAGTGTGGAAAGGGGAACATTTATTATAGATACCTTTTACTTTCAGAAAAAACAAAAGTTTAGCCAGTGATGCTTTCAGTCATTAAAGGTTTTAAAATGTAAAATCTTGCTGGTTATTCTTTCAGATGTCAATTCGAAGTTCAAATCTCTTTCCACAAGTCATTGGTCTCTACAGGGGTTGTAATATTACGCTTGAAAGTTAGGAACCGTAAAGTATCCCTTGTGTACACTGTCCTGAACTTTGTATAACATCTTGGATCAACTGGAAGGTGAACCAAGCTGGTACCAAGGTCACCTGGGCAGTGAATGGAAAGGTGTTTTTCAAAGCAAACTCATTTAAAGCACGGCAGCCAATTTATACAAAGCAAAATCTCACTAAAATGTAAGCAGTCGAGAAGGTTATACTATATAATAATCAGGGCTGCTTCACTAACCTTTTTGTCCTGTTATGAGTAACCACTGCTGTACAGCTTGGAGTGAATCAGTTTGTAAGATCTGGGACAGTAGCTCCAGGACCTACGTGAAGGGCAGTACATTGCAAAGATTTAGTTAAATAGTGTGGATCGTTGCTTCATTGACACTAACAAGAAAGGTGTACAATTTACACTCAAACAGTCCTCCTCCACAAGCCGGACATCTATTATCTAGTGCCCTTTGCGGATGGAAATTTGCTGTCCTCATCTGATCTGGCCTACATGTGATTCCAGACCCATAGCATTCTGGTTGACTCTTACCTGCCCACTGAAATGACCTAACAATACACTCAGTTCAGGGGCATTTAGGGATGGGCCACAAATGTTGGTCTTGCCAGTGACGCTCACAACCTGTGAGAGAATTTGCAAGAAGTTGTTTGACTGGCAGGAAGGGACTGGGGACAGGACAATAACAGTAAGGTGCGGTGGGAAAAAGGGAATCCAAGACAACTGGCATCATTGTTTGTGGTGACCATATACCCAGACCAGAGATGTTTTGTTCTTCCTTTCCAACATCTACATTTCTCCTTTCCAATCCTAATTTAGAGAATTCTCTTCAGTAAAGTTATGCAGAACCTTTACAGAGTCGTGTTAGACCTCATCTAGAGGATGGCATTCAATTCTGGTGACAATACTTCAGGAAGAATGTGAAGGTCATTGACAGGCTGCTGAGAAAATTAACCAGAATGGTTCCCAGAATAAGGGATTTTAGCTCCAGGTTTAGTCTGCAGAATATGGGATGCTTGTCCTTGGAACAAAGGAGATTGAGGAGTACATCTGAAGGAGGTGAACAAGGTTACAACAAGGGTATTAGTTAATCAGAAAAAAGCTGCACTTATTGACTGATTGGACAAATACTGGGGAACAGGTTTGAAAGTTTTCTGCAAAAGACACAGAGGGAGGTGAGGAAGAACATTTTTACGCAGTGAGTAATGAAGACCTGGACCTCACAGCCTATGTGGGTGTTGGGTGTGGAGATGGTCAAAAAGTTCATTAGAAAAGTGGAGGGACATTTGACGGAAATAATCTTGCAGGGCGACGGGAAAAAATCTGGGAAACTGGCACTGAGGGACTGCTTTGCAGAGAATCTGCATGGCCCTGATGGGTCAAATGGTCTCCTTCTGCACCATAATATCTTTATAAGTCTATGACAGAAACTCACATTTGTCACCCATCATATGGGCAGTTAAAAAAAATGCCCAGATTGCTTCTCTCATTCCAAGAGTGAACAGGGAAATAAAGTGGAGGCAACTTGACAAAGTAGATGGGGAAAGGTTGTTTCCCCTTTTGGAAGAGTCTAGAACCAAAAAGCATTACACGCAGAGTAAGATGTTGCACATGTAAATACATAGATGAGGTATGTTTTTTCTGTCAGTGGGTAGTTATGGAATTCTTTATCGCACAGGACTGTTGATTCTGGGTCATATTCAAGGCTGAAACACAAATTTATACTCAGCAAGCAATCAAGTGTTATGGGAAAGGGCAGGCAAAAAGAGTCGATGATAATCAGATAGCCATGATCTCATTGAACGGAGGCTCAGACTTGATGGACTGAATGGCCTACTTCTGCTCTGTAGTCTTATAGATACAAAGCTGAGGTGGTAAGCAGGATATTTATTGGTCACTGGAATTTGGAAAACGTACTTAATTTTAATATGACATCACTCATGTTAATGTAGGGTGAAGAAGCTAATGAATCAAGTTTGATACGTGCTTGTTCCAAATATTCCATTTGACTGTACACTAAAGGTGCAGGCTAAAACAAATGGTGATACTCTGTACTATAATAACTGGCATCTGTAAAACAGTTCTCAGATCTACTGAGAGGCAGACAGGATTTTGGATTATTGTCTCACCTGTAAGTGTTATACAGTCATGCAGCACGGAAACACACCCTTCGGTCCAACCAGTCCATGCCAACCATAATCCCAAACTAAACTAGTCCCACCAGCGTGCGCTTGGCCCATATCCTTCCAAACATTTCTTATTCATGTACTTATCCAAATGTCTTTTAAAATTGGTAATTGTACCCACGTCTACCACTTCCTGTGGCAGTTCATTCTACACGCGAATGACTCTCTGTGTAAAACAGTTGCCCCTCATGTCTGTTTTAAATCTTTTTCCTCTCACCTTAAAAATATACCTCCTAGTCTTGAAATCCCCCACCCCAAGGAAAAGACACTTGCCATTCACGTTATCTATACCCCTCATGATTTTATAAACCTCAATAAGGTCAACCCTCAACCTGCTACACTCCAGTGAAAAAGTTCCAGCTTATCCAGCTCCCCCCTTATAAATCAAACCCTCCATTCCTGGCAACATCCTGATAAATGTCGTCTGAACCCCCTCCAGCTTAATAATATCCTTTCTATAACAGGGTGGCCAAAACTGAACACAGTACTCCAGAAGAAGCCTCATCAATGTCTTGTACAACCTCAACATAACGTTCCAACTCCTATACTCAAAGGTCTGAACAATGAAGACAAGTGCGCTAAATGCCTTCTTAACTACCCTATCTATATATGATGCAAACTTCAAAGAATTATGTTCCTGAATCCCCAGGTCTCTCTATTCTACAACACTACCCAAGACCCTACTTTTAACTGTATAAGTCCTGCCCTCGTTTGTTTTACCAAAATGTAATACCTTGCATTATCCAAATTAAATTCCATCTGCCACTTCTCAGCCCATTAACATCAAGATCTCTTTGTGATCTTAGATAACCTTCTTCACTGTCCACTATACCTTTAATTTTGGTGTCATCTGCAAACTCACCAACTGTGCCTTCTATATTCTTATCTAAATCATTTATATAAACGGTAAACCAAAGTAGACCGAGCAGCAAACGCTGTGAAACAGCGCTGGCAACAGTCCTCCAGTCTGGAAAACTGCATTGACAGTACAGTAGCCAATCAGTTCTGCACTGGGGTGGGGGTTGTTTGTCTCAGCCTGGATATGTCATCAAGTTTCAGGAGCATTGTACTTGAACCCATAATCTTTTGACCCAGAGACTGGAGTGCAATTCACTGAAACACTGATGCAGTTGATTGCGCTGAGACCAGATAAGTAGGAAATTATTCTTCAAACATGGTACATTGATATCACTGGCTAGGCCAGCATTTATTGCCCAAATCTCTAGCTGTCCTTGAGAAGGTGGTGGTGAGCTGCCTTGAACTGTTGCAGTCCATGTGATGTGGGTTGACCCACAATGACACCAGGGAGGGAATTCCAGGATTTTGACCCAGCAACACTGAAGGAATGGTGGTATGTTTCCAGGTCAGGATGGGGCTTGGCTTGGAAGGGAACTTGGCAGTTGGTGGTGTCCCCGTATATCTGCTGCCTTGTTACCGAGTTTGGGAGGTACTGCAGGAGTGGCCTTAACAAATATGCTACATTACAATTTCTGCAGCTACTCACTAGAACTTCACGTTCAGCCACTGTCAGGGTGGGTCGAGCGCATTCACTGGCCCCAGCACGTGAACCCGGTCTGGAGGCAGGCCGGGATTTAGGTCTTATTGGAGAAGTGCACAAACTCCCCTTCTCAGCAGGATACTGGGTTACCCATTTTGCATTCTCCTCCTATATAAAGAAACCACATTGTAAAAACAGTGTTTATCCGCTTGCTGCTGAAGGTTGTGTAGATTTAATCGTAATCCAGCCATACCCCAATTTGAGAATATTACAGAAATGTTAATTATTTTATCATTTGGCCCAGAGAAAAATAAAAATTCATAGATGAGTCACTCTCCACATTGAGAGTTCTCTCTACTTATTAGTGCCCTCTTTTGTGCTATGATTAGGAACATTGGAACAATATTAGATCAACAATTGGAACAATAATAGATAATTTATTAAGTTTATGGCCAATCTGGAACCCAAAGCCTTTTATCCACATTTGAATCATATCAGCAACACCGGGACATCAAGAGGCCATTTGCTCATTGAGTCCAATTTCATCAATCAATGTAATTATAGCTGATCAGGAGTAAACTCCATACACCCGCCTTCACCCATACACCTTTATATTTTTGATGACAGATATCTTATCAATCTCAGACTTAAAATAAATAGCTGTTCTAGCAAAGGATGTGCTTGGCAGAAGAGAGTTTTGGACTTCTCCCACCCTTTATGTTGTAGATATTGGTTTGTACTCCCATGAAGCTTGTAGCTTGGGCTCTTCTCTGCATGTTGGAGAGATGACTATCCTTGTCTCTGGTCTGTGATATTTCCCCCTCATCTACCTGCTGTCTGACTCTGCAACTCTTACATTTCAAGCACTGTACAGAACCCTGTTCTCTCTAAATAAAGCTCTCACTGGTACAGACAATTCCCTTTTTTCTACGCAGATACATCATGATATACACCACCATCTCATTATCATTGGGCGTGGAAACATTGGAGTCATCAACATAGTGATAGAGTTTAACAGCATGGAGAGAGGGCCTTATAATAGGGCAGTCCCACCATCCCAAGAACCTGATTGGTGAACCTCCACTGCACTCCCTCTGTGACAAGTATATTATCATCAGACATGAGGACCAGACTGCAGACAATACTGCCTTTGTGCCTGTACTCTTGCGAAAAAGGTTAATGTACCCTATTTGCTTTTCTCATTATACCACAGATGTGTTGTCTAACCTGGCTCCAAAAATGTCTGTTCTAATATTCAGACTATGTTCCCTCATTCTATACTCTCCAACCAACAGAAAAATATTTTTCTCTCCCCTCCCTTAATAATATGAAAAGTTTTATCAAATTGCCCAAGGATCGCTCTCTTGATACCCTTACATAAGAAAAATAGATTGCATTCAGCTTTGTGGCATTTTTAGGGAACAAAATTCTATTTTTAACACCACAGTTTATGTAACAAAATATGCTTCCTGATTTCACTGAGCCATTTGACTCTAATTTTAATATTGTGTCCCCTTGATAACAGTTTCTCTATATTAACCACATCATTAAACACCTCAGTTAGTTCTCCCCTTAACTTTCTAAACGCATGGATGCAACACCCAAATTAATGCAATTGAACCTCAGGATTTAACCCTTTAGGCCCTGCCATCAATTTGGTGTCCATCAAGTCTTTGGACAGAATCTTCCCAACCCATGAACAATGTAGGCATTGGTGAGAAAGTCAGGAGAACTGCCTGGGATCGACACCGAAGAGCTTCCTGCCATCAAGAACACAAAGTCCTATTTTCCAAACGACCTTTGAACAGCAAGACAAGATCATCAGTGACCTGGAGACTCCAGCTCACTGCTCCAAGCCTCCATCAGTCACCAGTATCTCAGGGCACGCTCTACGGACAGTGGCTGCATACTTCTCCTTTACAGCAGGACCTCCAGGTTCCCATTGGCAAAGTGGGATGCCAACCATCCTCCAGAGTTTCCAGGGCAAATAAAACAAACCATACATGGCAGTTGCAGACTGCTGGCACTAGATCGCGTACATGGCTGGGCTTTAAGGATGGTGCCAGCACCAGGAGTTCTTGAGTAGGAGAATATAACAGACAGGGCACCATTGGGGCATGGCACATGGGTCATGAGGTGTGTCTGGAAAGGCAGTGTGAGAAATCTCACAAAGAGAAATTCACCAAAAATTGACACTTCGCTGATTTCTGGTATGTTTCAGCCCTTTATCATACCCATGTGGATATTGCAGTGCCTTTACAAAAATCTAACTCTTGACCCCTACTGCAGTGTATATTTTAGTTTTATGGTTTCCATGAGTTTACTATATTCATTTCCACCTTTTAACACTGAACGTATTCGAGAAGAATGCCCAATGACAATTCCATTTTGTTAGGAGTTCTCGATTTTCAAATAATTTAACCACATGAATTATAACAGCAAAACAAAATTGTTCAAAATGAAAACTAGAAACCAGTGTGTGAAATGTAAAATAATAGCCTAATTTTTATTTTAAAAAAATATTTTGGGAAACAATCTTACTTGCAGTTCTAAAATAAAAAGTGAATGGAACAATCTCAGTCACGTTGCCAATTCTGGATCGATTCCTGGAGAGTCTGTCACTCGATCTCCTGTCTCCCACTGCCCCTCCCCCACTGTTGGTCATCCATCTATCCTGCCTTCCTACACTCAATCAGAACAAAGTGACTCTTCATCATCTGATTAGCAATTCCCAACATCAGTGTAACAGTCCCATGTCCAATGCACTGACTTAACCAATAACAGCACTCTAAACATTTTGATTAGAAATAACTTAATCTGATGGTTTTTCTCCTGATTTGTGCCCACAACATTGCCCTGCTGATAAATCTTGAACAACCCTGGCAGCTTTGCAACCACAATCTGGCACCTTTGGTTACAATTCCTCCTCCTTTTTTTCAAAATGACTAATGTAATGAGGAGCCTGAAACAAACAGAGAAGTTGCTGGAAAAACTCAGCAGATCTGATATCACCTGTGAAGAGAGAAACAGAGTTAATGTTTTAAGTCTGGTATGACTCTTTTTCATGTGGATTTTACAGAGATTGTGGAGTTACAAATCTTCTCCACTTTTAAAAGTTCTCAGGTTCCAAGCCCACTCATGGGAAGTATCTCGCATCCTGTGGTCTGCATTGGGATCTTGCAGGAGGTGGAAAATTACCAAGTCATCTTCACAATTCCCACCCAATGTAGGCAGGCTACAGTACCCAGAGGCAGACAGGGTGCAAAAACAGGTACCTGCAGGACTGGATGGCAGTGTCACTAGGAGAGTTGGGCACCACTGAAGCAGTGGGAAATCTGGTCAGCACCTTTAATGGGTGGATCTTTTGAAAGGCTTCTAAGGTTTGATTACCTCAGCGTGGAGCAGGATTGCCCTCCACTTTTGATATGCCTGAGCAGCAGCTTTAGCCTCGTGGTTTGGTGAGAGTGGCATTGACAGCAGACTCCAACATACCTGTCAATGCTGAGCCATTGCTAGAGCCCTGGCACAGCATACGTGCCCTCTGTAAAACTGCAGTGCCACTTAGTTCAGAAATTTCAACTACCTCGATTAAGTTACCTGTCACAGGAGCCTGTGCCACATGGACCCCAGCCCGGGGAAAATCTCCCAGAGACAGGAATACATTGAGTCCTGCAGTCTGGCCCCATTGCTGTTCCCCATGAGGCATCCATAGATTTTTTTTTTACCAGCTTTACATTCAATAGATTGACGTCAGATGACCCATCACCTCTTTTGCTTCTGAAGTTGGTTCTGGAGTGAATTCTACCCTCGCTGTTAGGTCCCTCAGTTCTTCTCGCCAAGCTTGAGAGTCTGTACAAAACAGCAAAGGTCTCCATGGGTCTCCAACTAAGGAATTAGTTTGGTCCAATTTGCACTTAAACTATTTTCAGTTTAATCTAGACTGGGCACTTTCTTGACATTTAACATCTCACACATTGAAACAGAACATGAGTTAAATCAGGCAATTTACTCTTCCATTTTCTATTAACTGCTGTGAATTTTTTATATGTTCAATTTTCCTCAAAGCAATGTAGAGATGGCACTAATTTGAATTGTGCTGGAACTTTATACACTGAGTTTTATAAAATATTTTACATTCTCAGCATCACGGTTCAGCTGCTAGCAGCTTCTGTTGTGTCTCTGTACTTTTTCCTCTGAGTCCATACCCAGTCTTAACCAATCAAGCACAATGAGCATGGATCAGTTGCCAGAATGGCATAATCAAACACAAAACAATTGAACATAACAGTAATCTTAATAATTTTGGTTTTATTTTCTGATTTCCTGCTATACTTGATCCTTTGAGTCCTCAATTTCATCCCCTGTGTTTTAACTCAATACTTAAATGTTCCATTTTATAATTAAATTTAATCATTATAAAATTCAGTCAACAATTTCTCTGTATTAAAAAGATTGTTTTTATTTTCAACTCTCATTTTCTGAGTAATAAGCATGGATTCTAAAGCAATTTACCAACAGTAACAAAACCAACTTGTTTAAAACTGTTTTGTTACAAAAGCCACAAAGGGAACAAGGTGGAAGATTGTCGATGTTCTGTACCTTGAAATTCCTTTGGCTTGATTTCAGATTTTAAATGATTGAGTTGCCACCTTTGGTAAGTAATTAGGAAAAATATCTTCAAGTAAAAAGCGGTATAGTAGAGTGTGAAACTCTCACACTCTACTATAGAGAGTTTCACACTCTACTATACCGCTTTTTACTTGAAGATATTTTTCCTAATTTCTTGCCAGATCTCAATTTCCAAGCTCTGATTTGAAGGTTATATCCCTTTGTTTGAGACTTTCCCACCAGGAATACTGCTAAAAATTTGGATTTGAGCTCCATCTATACTTTCTGCTACCTTTGGAAAGCAGCCAACTTAATCAAAGACCCTTCCCACCCCAGTTATACTCTTCTCCACCCTCTTCCAACCTCTTCCATCAGGCAGAAGACACAAAGGTTTAAAAACACGTACCAACAGATTCAAGAACAGCTTCTTCCTTGCTGTTATCAGACTTTTTTCTTTCTTTAGATCCAGACATTTTTCTTTCCTTTTGGCTCTGTTTCTTTTATTTCTGCTGTTGCTTTTTAATTCTGATTTTTGTAACAAAATGTTGCCAGAGAATGGTGACTTTCTACACTCTTCACTGTACTCCTGTATTCCTATACCTGAGTACATGTGACAATAAATTCTAATTCTAAATTATGAACAGACTTCTCATATATTAGAATTGATTGTTCTCTGCAACATCTCTGTAGCTGTAACACTGTGTTCTACATTCTGTTCTATTACCCTTTTGTACTTACGTAAGGTATGATTTGTCCGGTTAGCACGCAAAACAATACTTTTCACTGTATCTCGGTACACGTGGCAATACAAAATCAAATCAAGTCAAGAAATTATGAAAAATGGTCTTGCTGGACTCTGGGGTTCTTAGTTGCTGAACTAGTCCATTGGAAGAACTTTACTTCTTCCTACAGTCTGTAAGAAGAGGATCCTGCTCCTGCCTAAGTGCTCGTTCCATCCCCAAATTAAACTGGAAATAAATTTGAATTGATACATCCATTAATACTTACATAAAAAGCTGATATCAGGTTGTGTTTCGTCTTTACAAGGTGGTTGTGGTACTCCTGTGATGACATGTGCTGGATAAGGAACGGTTATAGGAATATTCGCAGTGATTGGCCGCAACGGTTTGATGAACTCTTGTTTTGGTGTTGGTGGTTTGGATGGTTCTTTGCTACACGGAACAAAATCATCCACCTTACAGACAGGTGCATCATTCAGACCTGCAACACAGTCAGTGGTGTCACCTCAGTGAGTTTTGGAACTTGCATTTTAGGTGGTAATAATAGTCTGGCTGAAAAGTTATTGTAACACTAAGACAGAGGTCAGCATATGAAGTCATGGTTGTGAAGAGACCCTACACAAATATACTATGTTATCAGGTAAGGAAAGGACTAGCTGGTCTATCAAGCCCACCCTACACCACATCATGATGGAGTATTGTGATGAGGCACCTGTATGTAGAATTCTATCAGATTTTCAACACAGAAACAGTACCACCCCAACTAATCTATGTCAGCATTTATGCTCTACATGAGCCTTCACCCACCCCTCTTCATCTCATCTTCATGGCATTACGATTCCTCATCCACGTTAATCCAGTTTCACCAAACGATTCACATCAACTGTTCCCTATATGAGTGAATTCTACATTCTGGCTGTTCCCTGGATGAGGATTCCTACGTTTATAGACCCTAGTTTGGATAGGTGGAAAAATCTTTACTCTGTTTACCCTATCAAATCTCATCTGAATTTATTTATCTATTTCATCTCATTTGAACTTGGCTGCATCTGATTTATTGAGTACTCTCAGGTTACGAGATTCCACTGTAGTCAATGATCGACATCACCAAACTAGAGCTTATAAATCATAAAGGACCTGGGTCGATGAGCTGACACTAATGAGAGGACACTGGAGATGTAACTAACTAACACTGAGGGCACAATCTGCCCCTCCCAGGGGGTGACAAGAAGAAGAAATGGTTGAGTGAATTAGGCCTGAAGAGAATTAGGGGCAGCATGGTAGCTCAGTGATTAGCACTGCAGCCTCACAGCGCCAGAGACCTGGGTTCGATTCCACCCTCGGGCGACTGTCTGTGTGGAGTTTGCACATTCTCCCTGTGTCTGCGTGGGTTTCGTCCGGGTGCTCTGGTTTCCTCCCACAATCCAAAGATGTGCAGGCTAGGTGGATTGGCCATGCTAAATTGCCCATAGTGTTCAGGGATGTGTAGATTAGATGGGTTACAGGGGGATTGGTCTGGGTGGTATGCTCCAAGGGTCGGTGTGGACTTGTTGGGCCGAAGGGCCTGTTTCCACGCTGTAGGGATTCTATTCTATGATTCTATGAACCTCACTCACTTCTCACTGGGAGAAAGGCAACTGCGTTAGTGACCAGATAACACTCCCAGGCCTATACTTAGAGAAAATCTCAGTGACAGTGTAATCCTTCTAACAGACACTAAGGAACTGCAGTATCATAGATTCATAAAAGATCTGTAGCACAGAAGGAGGCTATTCAGCCCACTGTTTCTGTGCTGACTCTCTCCAAATGCAACTCACCTAGTCCTACTTGTCCACATCCTCACTGTGGCCTGCAATTTTTTTTCTATTCAGAAATTATGGAATTCCCATTGGAAATGCACAACTGAAATGTGCTTCCTCCACATTTTCAGGCAACGCATTTGCAAAATCTAACCACTCACATTGTAAAAAGCCTTCCTTTCCCTCCTGTCTTTTCATTCATCAGCATTTTCTTTATGCATTCACAGGATGATGATACTGCTGGCTAATTGCTCAGAGGGCAGTTAGCAGGCAACCACTTTGCTGTGGGTCTGGAATCACATGTAGGCGATACCAGGTGAGGATGGCAGTTTCTAAAGGACATTAGTGAACCAGGTGGACTTTTACAACAATCAATGACGGTGTTGTAGTCATTTATTAGTCTCTTAATCAAGATTTTTATTAAATTTGAGTACAAATTCAAATTCCAATACATGCTGTGGTTGAATTTGAACCCAGGGCCTCAGAACATTAGTTCGCTCACAGGACTAATAGTCTAGCCATATTATCCCACTAGGCAATTGCCTCCCCCAGTCAAATCAATGTCTTCTGGTTGTCAACCCTTCCACCAATGGGAACAATTTCTCCCTATCATTTCTGTCCTCAGTCCTCTTTACTTTGGACACCACTCTCAATTCTCCTTTCCAACTTCTCTTCTCTAAGAACTGAAAGAATCCATTGCATAGAACCATACAGTACAGTAAGATCCCATTCAGCAAATTCTTTGAAAAACCAGTTCCAGTCCTTCTCGCTCTTTCCCGATAACCTTGACCACTTTTACCCCTTTGGGAATTTAACCAAATCCCCCTTTTGAAAGTTACTATCAAATCTGCTTCCACTTGCCTTTCAGGCAGCAAGTCCCAGATCCCCAGCTCCACTGTGATTATAAAAACCAAAAGAACTGCGGACGCTGTAAATCAGAAACAATAACAGAAGTTGCTGGCAAAGCTCAGCAAATCTGGCAGCATCTGTGAAGAGAAATTAGAGTTAATGTTTTGGGTCACCGGACCCAA